GGCAAACAGATGGGGACTGGTAGAATCTATATAAATAAAAATGTAATGTTCGTTTGTGGGATTAACATAACACAAAAACCACTGGACAAATTGACACCAAATTTGGACACAAGACACCTATCAGGCCAACGAGTGACCATCACTCATAAAACACTGAAAAACACAGCAGAAGAGGCTTAAAAAGCCAAAAAAATATATACATTACAGCGCATGTTTGCATATATATATGCAAACACACACATATATACAGAAATATATACAGTGTTCCCTCATTACTTCGTGGTCCACTTACCACGGACTCGCTATTTCGTGTTGTTTTTAATTAAGTAACAAGGGAACACTGTAGCAAGGAGGGAAGAAGAGCTGCCCCCTCGCCCTCTTTACTTTCCTTTTCCTCCTCATCGGCGCCGTCTGGGCAACACCTCCACTGCCTCCTCAATCGCAGGTCCCAAGCGACGGCAAGAGGCCCAGGCAGTGACAAGGAGGAGTAAGAGAAAGGTAAAGAGGGTGAGGAGGGGGTATCCCTACATCATGGTTTCTCACTTATTGCGGGGGTTCCTGGAACAGAACCCCCGCGATAAGTGAGGGAACACTGTACACACACATATACACGCACATATACTCACAAAACATATATACACAGAATGGGCCACAGCAGGGGACATAGAATAATAGAGTTGGAAGGGACTACATGGGCCATCTAGTCCAACCCCCCCCCCCCCCCGCCATGCAGGAAAAGCACAATCAAAATATGGTAGATGCCATATGTTCTGCATCCCCAAAATTAAAGCTGATAGGGGGGAAATGGTGCCATTTTTGGAATCAGCAGATCAAATATTCCCAGAAACAGGGCTAACATCTGAGGTACCAAAATGCGTGTTGGTCAATGTTATCCTTCTCTTGATCCACATATAGGGTGGGGACAGGAACAAAGTTAACTTTGTTATAGGAGAATCCATCCCATCTTCTCTTTATATACAGGTACCTTGCTTATTCAGACAGCTTCCGTTCTCCCCTAAGATGACAAAAGCAGCCTCCAATTAAAGAAAACTGTAAGATATGAAGCCACCACCCAAAAGAGCTTGATGGCTTACTGTAGCTCCTTCTCCTCTCCTCTCTCAAGGAACAAAGAACAAGAAGAGGGAATGCAGTTGTACACCTCTTTGCTAAAAAGTTTGCTGCCGATGCCAACTGTTGTTTTTTTCCATGATTTCAACACTGGCAGAAAGGATTTCTCACCTAATGAGAGAGTGTTGTGCTTGAAGGAGACCAGATGTCAGGTTATAAAAATATTAAATCCTTGTTTTGGGATATATTCAGCCAATTGAACTATTTTTGTATGCCACAAAAAATCTACCCGGTGCTTCAAAACAAAACCCATCATTCAGTTCTGCAATTTGACTATGGAAAATGTACTTTCGAGTTGTGTGCATTCCAACTGACTTATGGTAACTTTATGAATTTCATAGGGTTTTCTTAGGCAAGGAAGACTCGGAGGTGGTTTTGCCAGTTCCTTCTTCTGAAATTTAGCCCAAGGCACCTTGTATTCATTGGCAATCTTTCATCCAAGCACTAACCACTACCAGAGCTGACCCTGCTTTAGGTGCTAACTAAAGAGTCTAGGAAGCGTACAGACAACATGTGAGAACATTGGAAGGAACAATGTAGACGCACTGACAAAGTGCTCTTGCCATCAAACATGGCCACAGTTCCTCAAGATAAATAGCTTCTCAGTGACGTGCTGCTCTGAAATTACATAAACAGCAGAAATTACTAAGACCTCGGCCCCAGGGTTTTGTGGGTTTCAAGATTTTCTGCAATCAATATTCTGACATCTGCAAACATTTATTTCGAGCAGCTGATGCCAAAAGTAGTAAAAACAATCACCATCACTTCATTCTTCCAAAGGTTTTGATTCAAATATTATTATTCAAGCTTTTTACTTGCAGTTACTTTCGATTATTTGTTTTATTAATGAACACATAAATTGGTGCAAGTAACAAAATTGGATGTCTATATATAATTAAGGAAGCTATACTACAAAAATCTACTCAGAAGTAATTCTAACTGCATTCAACAGGTCATACTCGTGAGCTTTATTTGGACTTTAGTTACCCAGTTTGAATCAATATGTGAAGACAGGAGTGCCCCTTCCTTCTTGCTTTCCTCTGAAGATAAACTCCTATTTGCATAGATGTGAAAAAGATGTGATTTTTTTACACACAAGAGTCTGCACACAAACAGGAACTTGTATTAGGACTTATTGATTTACACATGATTAGAGTAAATTAAGCCAGGGAGAGCTAGGCTCTCTTTTCTTTGCATTTTGATTCAATATGGAAATTCAACACCTGAGGGTAAAGGTAAAGGTTTTCCCCTGACATTAAGTTCAGTCGTGTCCAACTCTGGGGCGTGGTGCTCATCTCCATTTCTAAGCTGAAGAGCTGGCATTGTCCATAGACACCTCCAAGGTCATGTGGCCGGCATGACTACATGAAGCGCCGTTACTTTCCCGCTGGAGCGGTACCTATTGATCTACTCACAGTTGCATGTTTTCGAACTGCTAGGTTGGCAGAAGCTGGGGCTGACAACAGAAGCTCATGCAGCTCTCCGGACCTGAAAACTTGAAGGGGGCTCTAACTAAATAGGTAGAGGGATGTAATTCCTATCAACTAATTTGAGTAAGAATCCCCATATTAAAAAGATTGGTTTGATTGAGATATATTTAGCTTAAGATAACAGAAGGAGCAGGTATTGCCACGAAACATTAATGATGTATGGCTTGGTATAAAAATGAGAAGAGCAGCAATGATGCAGACATCGAATGTGTTTTAACAGGAATTGAGAAAATGAAGATGAGGAACACAACAGGTAATTACATAGCTGAGGACAGAGGTGGTTGTTATTAGCATCTCCTTCATAAAGAAATATTTTAGTTTAGAAGAAATACATATATATTACTAAAGTATTAAACTAACAGATGCTTTGCAAATGTGGCAATCAGCCTTCCACATTAGCTGGGGTTATAGACGCAGGACCCCATGAAAGTGGAATTGAATTTAAAATACTATTTTTTTTAACCTGAGACACCTCTCTAGTATTCTTTTGGATCTTCCAGTGCAACTCTATGCCAGAGGTTGATCATAGAATGGCACTGGAAGCCCTAGAGCAGTGGTTCTCAATCTGTGCTCCTCCAGATGTTTTGGACTTCAGCTCCCACAATTCCTAACAGCTGGTAAGCTGGCTGGGATTTCTGGGTGCCGAAATCCAAAACACCTGGAGTAGCAGTTTGAGAAACACTGCCCTAGAGATTCCTAAAGGCAATATTAACTAAATCCACAAAAGTTAAACCCACAAATATGGAGGGTTTTCTGTGGAAGAAATTGGCTGTATGTTCATCCTTTCTTTTAGAAGACAACAGATGATCTTGTATATGCTTCAGGTCACAAAAAATTATGCTTGTAGCACTATAGAATGTGTCTTTTCTCAAGGAGGTCAGGATGACAGATTAGTTAATATGCATCCCTATCCCATTTATGTTTTCTATTTATTCTGACGTAAAAATACTATATTTCAAACTAAATACAATATGGCTAGCACTGCAGCCTGAGTTTACTTCCTTATGAAACTTGTTTGAACATTTGTCAGCCTTTGACTAGTGTTACTATTGTGTGACTGTCTAAGTTGTTTATTTATTTGCAGTATTTTTATTTTACCCTTCTCACCTCAAAGGGGACTCAGAGCAGATCAAAGAACACATATATGGCAATGCCATTATACACTGACAACAAAGACAACAATATATATATAAAGTTATATATGGGCTTTTCCATCTTCGACATCTTGGTGGCTGTGCTCGGTTCTGGCCACCATAGGGGGATGTGTGTGCTGTCACTCCATTTTCCCTGCCAGAGCTTTTATCTGTAAACTTTCTCTCCTTGATCAAATCATCAACATTTTTCTGGCATTTCCTTATGGGTGCCTTAAGTATCTCCCTGCTTAAGTGGTACCTATTTACTAGGCTTGTTTGATCAAAAAAAAAAAAAAAGAGGATCAAAACTTGTTTTGGATGTAGGTAACACTGGTGGTTCAATTCGGAAATCAATTCAGATTTTCATAGAAAAAAATGTTCAAAACCTTTTGAAACTTTCTGAATTCCAAATAATGGTTTGAAAGTTATTTCCTGTTGCATTGGGTGGTCTTAATTTTGAGAGTAGTTGTTTTCCTCCAGAAAAGGGGGGAAGCAAAGGGAGGAAATTCATCCACATTGGTTTAAAACGCTTGCCAGACTCCAGGCAGAAGCGAGAGGAGAGGAAATTCACCACTCTTTTTAAAAATGCTTTCCCAGACTCCAGATGGTCACCTGGCCTCAATAATAATAATAATAGGAGGGGACCAATAATAGCAATACATGAGAACCTACTGACTGTGTAAAATGCACCAGCAATAACAGACTTCCCACACACAGCACAGCTATAGAAAATTTTGCCAACCAGAAGGTTGGCAGTTCGAGCCATGGGTTGAGGTGAGCTCCCGCCATCGGCCCTACCTTTTGCTTACCTAGGAGTTCGAAAACAGCAATGATACCACTTTGGTAGAGAGGTAAAAGGCACCCCTGAGGACATGCCAGCAATTCAATCAGGAAGGTGTCAATGGACAAGAGGATCCTTGGCATGGAAAAATGCAACAACAGCACCTCCCCATGCCCGAGTTGAGCACAGCCACCTGATACCGAAGATGAAAAAGTGAGAAGCCTTGTGTACTGTCTGTCTTTATTTGTTAACTACGTAACAGCACTGAATGTTTACTATATATGTATACTGTAATCCGCTCTGAGTCCCCTTGGGGAGATAAAGCGGAATATAAATATATTAAGTATATTATTATTTATTTATTGTGGTACAAAGAGGGAAACATGTTAAAACATTCCTTAAAGGAAAGGGTTCCAAGAACACACCATCAATATTTTTTCCCCTCAGCAATAATTCTCAAGAAGCAAATTTTTCTATAATACCCCAATTTTTTATTAATTGTAATACCCATTAAAATTACATCAATCTTGATAATTAAAGAAATAAAAAGGTGGAAGAAATTGATTATTTGAATTTAGTTACTGACACGCACACACACACACATACAAATTTACACTGAAAACAAATCTGCTCAAACACTCATTTTCAAGCAGGTTGCCTTCAGAAGTAACTTATCAAAACTTCCCAGATCCCAGTTTCTTTTTCATGTACAGGCACTTACACATTTTTCATTGCAAAGTACAATGGTCATCCTAAAATGTACATACATATAAATTTAAATCTCACTTCAGTCACAATTTTATACTGGTTTACATATAGCACCCTTTGTATCCATCCATGGCAGCATTTGCAATGCAAGCTGGGATGTAAACAGCAATCATACTCCTAGAGGTCAAGAACATGGTAGAAAATGATCTGGTATAGATAATATTCCCGAGTATGTGAAAAGACAACATGGGTACCATTCTAAGGCACAAAAAGCCTTGTGGTGGTGGTTCAGTATCCTCAATGATCCTATCAAATTCAACACCATTAAGAAATGGCTCAACAGATCAATAACAAAGAGAAACGCATGTAATAATTTATTTGCAGGAAGATGGATGCTGCTGTGAAGCCAAGTAAGTGGATGCGATGTCCTTGTCAGGATTTAGGTTTCATTTAACGAAATGTGGATTGTGAACCCCACTTCTTCTAGCATTTAGTGTCAAGAGTCTTTTCATTGCTTCATATTTCTGAAAAAGGGGTGCAGCAAAGCATCCTTGGCAGTGATTCTTGTAGCAGGATTTAAGTCAAGCAGTTTATCAAGAAGATCATAGGCCTCGTCGGGAACTTTGTCCCATCCTTTTGGATCAGCTCCTTTTTCAGTAATCCTCATATCTGTGCCATCGCCTCCGTGACGATGCTGCTTCTGGTAGTGTATGTGCTTTTGGGGACCCTGGAGTGAAGCCTCAAAAGCATTGCTGATTTCCGTTGACAAAGCAGATTCCTGAGGAGGTTTGATCTGTACATCTCCTGTTGAGATGTCAAAGCTGGTACCGTTCCCTCTCAGCCTCTCACAGAGCTTCCGTAAATCCTGAGCCAGGATCTCTTTGCTACACAGTATTGATTTACCTGTGTAAAAAGCATGATGGTTAAAGTGGTATTCTTCTGTATGAACTGGAATTTCCGAAGACACACACTAACAATCTAACAATTCGAAATGGCACTGTCAACTCACTATTACTTATTTTATTATTTATTATTTACTTTATACCCCGCCTTTCTCACCCTGAAGGAGATTCAAAGTGGCTTACAAACTTCGGCAAAAATTCAGTGCCGCAAAATAGACACAACAATAAAACAAGCCATTTGAAACTATAAAACAGTTAAAATATATAAACAATTAAACACATAAAAACATCAAAACAGATTAAAAACATTTCAAGCACTGAGTGTTGATATCCATGCTTATAAGATTAACCCATAGTCATTATTCAAACTGTTGAGGTCTCATTCTGTGTTATCCTACTCTCCAAACACCTGCATACATACTATGCAACACAGTAATTCTTATATGGGAAAACAACTCGAATTTGGGGGGGGGGGATATATTCAGGGGCTTCACACACACACACACACACACACACAGAGAGAGAGAGAGAGAGAGAGAGAGAGAGAGAGAGAGAGAGAGAACTGATGTGAGATAAGGCCCATCTTACAGTATTTATTTATTTATTTATTTATTTACTTTGCTTATATACCGCTGTTCTCAGCCCGGAGGCGACTCACAGCGGTGTACAACATAGAAACAGGTTCAAATTCAAGACACAATCTAAAATAATCAATCTAGCATTAACCAAAAGCATCATCATCAAAAACATCATCAATAATACAAAAGCCATTCCACGTCGTCTCATCGTCTAAACCACAATCCAGCATCAWTTTCCGTTGTTCAATTCCTGTCGTCATTACCAATTATTGCACTTCTTGTTCGAARGCTTTCTTGAACAGCCAGTATGATGAACATTGTTAGTGAAACTGATGTGAAAAGTTCTGAACATTGGCATCCTGCCCAATTTCCAATATAATCCAAAGTTATGCTAGTTTCTGGGAATATAAACACCCATTATTTCCAGAAAAGGATGGCAAAGTGATAGCTACGAACACAACAAATGCACACTGAGTTAAGGAAAACGTGAAACCTGCATACCAAATGTTCTAGCAGCTTGAATTGTTTCCCTGGATCCACGAATAGTCATAATCTGTGCCAAAGCCGTTAAATCATCGCCCGCTTTGTAAAACGGATATCGATCACTCAGCAGAGAAAGAAATATGATGCCTGCAGACCACATGTCAATTGCTGCAATGGAAAATAAACGTTTAGTTCAGAAGCATACAACTCCATTTTCTTATTGTGTTTGAAAAGGTTTAAAAATGGCAATCCAAAGCTCATTTAGCTTTACATTTATTCAGTGATTAACTAATACTGCAGAAAGTAAGACTGTTCTGCACAATGGGATTGCCAAAGTAAGTAAAGTTACACATGTATTGCAGATGCATCCAATGGCATAATAACATGCAGATTTAATTCCAGCTAGTATGCTGACATACCAAGATCTCCCTGTTTGGCCTTGGCCATTCACTTCAATGAAAAAAGCAGTTCTGAATACTCAAGAAATGCTCATGCAGAAGTGGATGGAAAAGTACGTGAAAGGGAGAGTATTTTGTATGCACACAGAAGGCACTGCGATCCAAATTCTAGACAAGTTATATCCAGTGGAGGAGGAATATTATTCCATATTAAAATCTATGGTCATAATCAGCCCAAATTGACTTTTAAGCCTCATTAACGGAAGTGAGATGGTGAAACACATACTTAACACTCCCACTGATACATGCATGTAATTCTGCACCTGGTTCTGCATTATTTAGTTTTAATGAAAGTCTTCTCGTAACTGGACCTGTATCTAGATATGACATTTTGGATGTAACAATGGTGAAAGTCATAGACACAAACGTTTTCCACAGCATATAAAAGTGAAGACCAGGATGAAAGGACAAAGCCAGCGTGAAATAACATATCCATAATATTGTCTATAAACATTCACCGCAATATTCAATAACAAACAGGGGAAGTAGGTGGTATTTTCAAGGTGGACAGAATGCTGTATTGAAACCACATACCTGGACTCAAACTTTCAGAACCAGATCTCATTTTCAATCCCACTAGATTGAAAAGCACTTTGGGCAATATCATATGCTATCTTTTAATGTAAGCTTTTAAAATATCTGCTTGCAAAAATATCATGCTTTCCTCTAAGAGAGCATATTGATGGACAGGATCACTCAGAACGTTTGATTGTAAACAGTAAAGGTATCTCAAAATTCTTAAGCTGACAGAAAGCCTGAAGTATCAGCTTTCTAGATTTTCCTTTTTAAAACAGAAATGGTATTCTCAGTTATCATAGGAACTATGTAAAATAAAATATCCCAACTTCTTTTTATTCCAGGTTACATATCTTGGAATAAACAAAATATTTTCAGAGCAATAAGAGGTAAAGGAGTTTCTTCAACTAAACTCCTAATCCTGTTTGGAAAATCTAGGGTCTGTCTATATAATAATAATAATAATAATAATAATAATAATAATAATAATAATAATAATTATTATTATTATTATTATTATTATTATTATTATTATTTCTAGACTGCCCTCTCTCTGCAGAAGAACTCAGGGTGGTTTGCACATAAAAAGGCAAACATTCAATGCCTCAAAATAGGTACAGACACATCGTAATAATACAAAATAATGGAACTTAACAGAAAACTTACAACAAAGGAATTAGATATCAAAATAAAATAAAAAGAACAATCCATTAAGATATAAAAACTAAAATATGAATAAACATTACAATGTATACCCTAAAAACAAATTATGAGATACTTCATTAAAAATGGCTGATAACAATGTTTCATTTAAGATGTATCATAATAACCGTCTAATACACGTAGATTAGCCAGCAGTCCTAATCCTCCTCCTCTCCATATGCTAAAGTGCATAGGTACACTTTAGAATTAATTCAGTTTAACACCACTTCAAATGCCATGGCTCAGTATTATGGAATCCTGGGATTTGTAGTTTAATCAGGCAAAATAATGATTTGGCAACAAAGGCTATGGACCTTATAAAACTATAACTCCCGTTATTCCATAGCATCAAACCACAGCAGTTAAGTGGTGTCAAACTGCAGCATAGGCTGATAAAGACACACATCTTGTGCCATGGCATTATCTAGTTCCATTCTAGCATACTGTACCTGTTGACTGGTGAGGACACTTGATTAATACCTCCGGTGCTCTGAATCCAGGTGTACCAGCCCTTGGAGCAACTTGCTGACGCCTTGAAGGGTTGGAATAAGCAAAGTATAGTTCAAAAATAGTAACAGGAAATCTGAAACTTTTCATGGTCTGATAACAAAGCAATCTCTGAGATATTCTTTTTTTATGGTAATTTTGTGAACATTCAACATTTCCTTTTAAATCTAAAATCTTTTCTTTCTGAGTCTTAACGTGTGCCAGTCAGCCATAGCCTCATAGCTTCACCAGTAATGTCTACAGTTTCTGAAATACTATGTATGAAAGGCAGGATTTACATATTTTTAGATGGTAAAGACATTTGACTTCAACTGCGTAAGGCTTAACTTTTTAGTCATGAGATCATGATCGTGAGCTGCTTGATTATGTATGCTGATCCCAGCCACAGATTTCAGAAGTCTAATAGTAATGGCACAAAACACAGAAAGATTTATGTATTCTGCTGCTGCGTTGCTCGCAGGGCTGTTTGACATTTCTTAGTCGTATGACCTACACGGGTTTACAGGCCAGGGCATAGCAACTGACACTCTTAACCTAAACGTCTGCGTGAATACATTGTGCCTCCAACAATGAAACATTGCTCCGATGCTGTTGCACGCCTTGAGATAATGTCAGAGATACCCTTCTGACGCAGGAGAGAGAGAGAGAACTGAAGAGGGGTCAAGTGATTTTACACAACATGAATCAAAAAGGGGTTAAGAGTTCATGATAATGAAATACTTGTACAAAAAACATTTAAACAAGTGGGCAGCCATTGATTGCTGAGAATGCCAGCAATGAACGTGACCATCTGTTAGAAACAGTCTGTACAAATAAGTATCTGATATTTTTCTCTGTTGTTTCACTGTGAAAGCGGCAATATTATCTTGTGCTTACTAAATCATCTGTCCAACTAATCCATGTTTTGAACATTCCTTGACAGCACAAGTGATAAGTTTTACTGTCCCAAGGCTAATTACCTTGAAAGACAAATATTGCAGACTCTATCTTTTGCATAACAGTCGCAGGACAAGTTCGCTGGACAACTGCTGGCAGCTTTCTTGGCTACACCGTTATTCAGAGTTGAAGTTGCCTTCTTCTTTGCTGACAGTTTTCTAGATGGAATATCTGTCACTTTGGGCTGTTTTACGAGCTGCAATATAGGTTGTATTTTAAAAACAAAACATATTTAAACACAGCTTTGACTTAAACTACATGGGAAGAAGTAAAAGTTGTTATTAAGCAGCATTTATAACGGCAACTTGCCAAATTCACATCCCAATGGCTATTTTTTTTTTTGTCGTGTCAGGAGCGACTTGAGAAACTGCAAGTCACTTCTGGTGTGAGAGAATTGGTCGTCTGCAAAGACGTTGCCCAGGGGACGCCTGGATGATTTGATGTTTTTATCATCCTTGTGGGAGGCTTCTCTCATGTCCCCGCATGAGGAGCTGGAGTTGATAGAGGGAGCTCATCCACCTCTCCCCGGATTTGAACCTGCGACCTGTCAATCTTCAGTCCTGCTGGCACAGGGGTTTAACCCACTGCGCCACCGGGGGCTCCCAATAGTTTTAATGGCTATTAAAACATGGCAAGAAATTCCAAGAATTCTAATTCAGTGGGATTCAGGAAAATTAGAAAGTTTACTATCTATACTATTAACCAAAATATTTTAAAATAATAGAATTATAGAAATAGTCTTGTAAACTCTACATACACCTATAATAATAATAATAATAATAATAATAATAATTATTATTATTATTATTATTATTATTTTATTTTATTTCATTTCTTACCCACCTCTCCTCGAGGCAGGTTACAACATTACTAAAACACACAATCATTTTAAAACAGTCTGTAAAATATACATATTAAAACATGTTTCCATGAAATATATATTAAAATACATATCAAAATCCAGATTATCTGCTCTGAACTAGACTATATGGAAGTGTATACTCAGGCTGCTTCTACACTGCCATATAATCCAGATTATCAAAGAAGACAATCCACACCATCCACTTTGAATTGGACCACACGAGTCTATACTGCCCTATAATCCAATTCAAAGCAGATAATCTGGATTTTATATGGCAGCATAGAAGGGGCCTCATATAATCCAGTTCAAAGCAGACAACATGGAACATCTGCATCGATAATCTGAATAATAATAATAACAACAAACACATATAGTGAGTTTTGCATTGTATGTGTCTTCAAGTTACTCATTGTCTTATGACAACCCCATGAATTTCAAGAGTTTTTCTCTTAGGCAAGGACTAGTAAAGGTGGTTTTGCGAGTTCCTTCCTCTAGCCTACAGTACCCAGTATTTGTTTGGTGATCTCTCATCCAAGTACTAAACAGAACTGACCCTGTTTGATTTTAGGAGATTGGTTCTGCTAATATAAGGGGATTTGTACTTAAATTAAAAATAATGTTCAAAAGGGCCTTCTGCCCAAAACAACAAACCCATCTCAAGTGCAGCATAATACATAGTTATGGACACATTATCACCATGTCATGTACTTCTATGCCTCTGTTTTCTTTATGGATGGGGCTTTGCATGTATGTCTCTACAACAATCCGTTAGGGAAGAGAGGTGGAGAAATCTGCCGGACTGTTACTATTTTTAAAATCAGTCACGTGTCTTCAAGTCTAGTTCAACCCTGAACTGGGCACAAAAGTCTTTTAATGATTTCCAAGGCATTTACAAAATAATAACACTAAGGTTTTCCCCAGATTACAAAAGCTCTCCTGCCTGATTGCTCAGAAGCACTTCTTATTAATTGAGTGGCTAATTATGAAACTGAATTTTAAAAAAATGATTGAATCCCCATTGGCGCGGCGGGTTAAACCGCTGAGCTGTTGACTTTGCCGACCAAAAGGTCAGTGGTTCGAATCCAGAGAGCGGGGTGAGCTTCCTGATAGCCCATTCTTCTGCCAACCAAGCAATTCAAAAACATGCAAATGTGAGTAGATCAATAGGTACCACTCCGGCAGGAAGGTAATGGCGCTCCATGCAGTCATGCAGGCCACATGACCGTGGAGGTTTGTACGGACAACGCTGTCTCTTCGGCTTAGAAATGGAGATGAGTACTGCCCCCTGAGTCAGACATGATTGGACTTAATGTCAAGGGGAAACCTTTACCAGATGTTCTAAGGCCCTTTCCCCACAGCCATATAACCCAGAATATCAGGGCAGAAAATCCTACAAGAGCTGCTTTGAACTGGGTTATCTGAGTCCACATTGCCATATATTCCAGCTCAAAGCAGATAATGTGGAATTTTATTCAGCTGTGTGGAAGGGGCCTAGGTTGACATAATCTTTAGCTAGATTCATACACTGCTGGGGGGGAGGGGGGGAGAAAGCAGATGGATCACTAATGTATATAGGTTCCCCAATGGACACACACATATCTCAGGCTTTCAATCACCTTGGCTCAAAATCAAAGCACTGGCTCACAATGTAATAGGCTTCCTGCAAATAAAATGTGGTTGACATTTCGTCGTCCTCCTAATGATTCCGCCTAGTCTTCAAACATTACATACATTTATGAATACATAACAGTAAAGAGATGTGGTTACTCACTTTAACTGAGGAACGGTCCTGAAATGTAGGACTTCGGACATTGAAATTCCTCTCTCCGAAGACAGAGCGCTGATGAGCAAAGCACTCTTGCCCCTCCTACAGTGTCGGAAAGAAGGGAAGTAAGTAGTCCATCTCTCACACATTGTCAACTACAAGTCTGTCTTTTCAAAAGTGACCAATACCACAAAAACAGCATTGGACAAAAATGTTAAGTGAACACAGTCTAGACCACAGATGTCAAACACAAGGTCCACCATATCATTTTATATGGTCCTCCAGATGCTGCACTACAACTCAACTTCCTCATTGTTAGATATCATGACTAGAGCTACTGGGATATAATAACATCTGGAAAGATGCAGTTTGTTGTATTAAAAAAGTGAGATCTATGTACAATAACTAAATAACCCAGTTTATATTTCAGATCAATTAAACCTTTAATTGTCAAAATCGACAGTAAGCCCCCTCCCCCCAAGAATAATGACATAGGTGAGAATAGTTTTGAGACCTGAAGTGCTTGGCTTGCAGAAGCAGCTCATCCTTTTTGGCTTGAAGTGAGTTTCATATTAAAACCTTTCAGCCACTTTTACCTAGGAAGATTCTACAGATGACCATCACTCTCTATTGCAGTGGTTCCCAACCTTTTTTTGACCAGGGACCACTCTCCAACATTAGTACCAAAAGGGTTATGAATCAGGTTTTGGTAAACTTTAGATTTGGTTTGGTTATTTAGGGTGCTGATTTAGAAAACTGCATTAGATAGACCACAGATAGATCTGCTCTAGTTTCCGATACAGAACATAGGTCACCCATTAGTCACCATCCGCTTGCCCACAGAAAACCATATTTAATAAGCCTCAGCAATATAAGAAGGTTTTGCGAGACCAGTTACTCTCATTGCAACGGTGTAGTTACGGTGAGGCCACGGACCACATTTTCATTCTTGCAGACCACTGGTGGTCCACGGACCACAGGTTGGGAACCACTGCTCTAATGTATATACATGCCTTGGTAGACTGAGCTAATACATGGAGAAGTCCACCACAGTAACGGGAGATGCTGCAATAGATAGCATGACCTAGAGGTTAAGAATTCTGCCAGTTCATCGGGAACATGATATATCGGCAATAGCCTTGTACAAATGTTACATACAAACAATTACAGAAAAACAAATCTCAATTTTGTGAGTTATGTGGTTCTTATAAAAAATAAGGTTTGTTTTTGTAAGTATAAAGATTTTAAAAGACTGGGTTATTTTCTTATTCTGGTATTGTATCTCCCCCTATTGGATGAAGTAGCTCATTAAAGAAAGCTGCACAACAAAATTATGGGAAAAGCACAGAACCTTTCTTTTGTGTCCTTCTTTAATCTGGGTTTGTGAAGCAGAACAAGGTCTTTTATTGGCAGTTTTTGTAGCTGACTGCTGAGTTGGGTGTCTAGGTGCCGTGGAAGTGACAGACGCCTGGCTTCCCAAAGTTATCTGAGGCTTAGTGTATGTGCAACTTCCCTGAGGGGCTTCAGACTGGATAACTTTGAGAAGTTCGATTTTGGTCTCCGGAGTTCCTTGGGCCAAACCGAAGTCAACCAGGGCATACCTAAAAACAATTAAAAAACACTTACTTGTGAATTATTTAACAAACATAAATGAATGGTAGCTTTTTACTATGCAAAGAACCAGAGTTATGTTGGTCTTAAAGAATGATGACTATATCATAGAAACATAGAATACAGGCCCCATTAATTAAACCCTTCCATTCCCTTTTTTAAAAGTAAACTGTATACAAATGGGCAGTTCTTGCAACACAGGTTTTGTCTGATAACATGTATAATTCAGCTGTAGACAAGAAGCCAGTAAGTCCCTTTGAGGAGAGAGGGCGGGTTAAAAATAAATTATTATTATTATTATTTAAACTACACTGCTCAACACACATTTTGGTGCCTCAAATGTTCGCCCTGTTTCTAAGGAATATCTGACCAACTGATTCCAAAAATGGCACCAGTGTTTTGCTCTATCAGCTCTAGTTTTTGAGATACAAAACATATACCATCCTTCATCTGCTCACCCCATGGAAAATTATTATAACCATAGCTAAGAGACTAGTGCTGTGGGGTCTTTCCAATGCAATTTTCTGAATCAGGGCTCCAAATAACCCCATGAACAGTCCTAAAACCAAAACACCAAGAATTTCTTTTTATTTTGTTGGGCTGTTATATATCACAAAAATAGTTTCCTAATAATATGGTGCATTTGAAAAATGGACTTTTATTGTTTTCTCTGTATCAATATAAAAGCTCGCTGCTTAGAACATGAAGATGAAAAAAAGCAGAAAGAAGGTGATTTTTAAGACCGGGCACTAAGCCGTCACTCTTTTATTGGCTAGGATAGCAAGCCACCCATCAATGTGTCTGAAAAATATATATTTAAGATGAAACTACACACCTGACAAGGAAAGCAGAGCTGAGATGTTTGCTGCTACAATTATGTATATCTTGTTGTGTGTCTTCAAGTCAATTACGACTTATGATGACCCTAGTGCCTGTCATGGGTTTCTGGGGCCAAGTGTGTGTGACTTGCTCAACGTTGCCCAGCAGGTTTCTATAGCCAAATGTGGAATCAACCCCTGGCCTCTAGAGTTATAAGCCAACTCTCAAACCACTGCTTAATCAGCAGTTTTAAATCAGTGAAGATATACAAGCAGATACATGCATATCCATCTGGGGAGGAAGGCATTCAGCAGAAAAGCAGCAGTTACAAAGGGGTGTACTTAACTCTTTATTACTCTTCTCATTGCAAACCGTGAGATATGGTAAATACAGGTTTGGGAATTTACACAGAAGAAAAACAAAGTAATGTCTAAAACATGTCAAGTAGAAAAATTCTGTATTAGATAAGAATGCATTGCATGTACCTCCAGTGTGGAAAAACCCAGTTCTTATTAGACGTGTGTTCACAGCACAGTCCTCTAAAGCAGTGGTTCTCAACCTGTGGGTCTCCAGATGTTTTGGCCTTCAACTCCCAGAAATCCTAACAGCTAGTAAACTGGCTGAGATTTTTGGGAGTTGTAGGCCAAAACACCTTGGGACCCACAGGTTGAAAACCACTGCTCTAAAGGGTTAAAAGAGTAGAGGTGTGATCCTAGAGGGACAACTGAGTCATTTAATGTCCTCTGGAGGGAAGAATAGGAATGGCTTGTATGTGCGCTTCCTTCTCTGCCATGTGCTTTGCTATCTACCATTTTAGAGGCCTTGCCACAATTGTCTGCATATTTAATCCATCACCATCCTTATTTGTGTGAGGGTCTTATGGTTGTGAGTATCTTTGTACATTAAGAGAAAACCTGTAAAAAGTAGCAACTAAATTAAGAATGAACCTCCAAGGACTTTGGATGAAAGTCAAAACTCAAGAGTGTTTATTTAAAGCGATTAGCTAGTTTACAAGGCCAGAGGCTGTGAATCTGTGACCAGGACTTAACTGCTTGTCTATGAGACTATCCCATTGCAGAGCTGTGATAAGATTGAATTCATGTGCCAACCTCGCAGGGGTGTAGTGTGTGTTTTTAACTTTGCTTCTCCTCTTGTTCAACACCCTTGCTAACAAAACATCCTTCCCAAACCATCTCAAAAACTGATCTTTCCTTGTTTGCATCTCATGGCTAAATGTCTGCTACTGAACATCCAGCAGAACCACTACTTTTACTTAAGGGTACAACGTATTAATGGACACATAGAAAAGATCACACCGCAAAATATTAACAGACTTACTGTTTCAGTTGCCGGTTGTATAGAAAGTTACTGGGCTTGACATCACGATGAATAATACCAAAGTGATGAATACGCTTCAAAGCTTTAAGGAGATTATACATATAATCTCTCACTTCTTCAAAGGAGAGAGAGTTCAAGATGTCCTATAAAAATGTTGAAATAAGTAATTGTGCAGTGATTTGTAACTAAGAGTTTTTAATTCTTCTATTAAAAGAAACCTGAAACTCACCAAAAAGGATTCATGTTCCAGATATGGCATAACAATAACCACATGATCATTTTTTCTAAAACAACACTTCACTCCCATAACATTATCCTGACCCCTAAAAGAAAGAAAACAATGATTTTGTTGTTCATAACATCTATTTGTGAAGAATTGTGATTATTATTATAATATCTTTATATAATTTCGCTTTATGCATTTCTTTTTCCTCAAAGAAAAAAAATCTTTGCATACCCATTACTGACACACAGTGAGCACAATCATTTATGAAATGTTACACCCAAAACATACTGGCCAGCTAATATATAGGGCTGTGACAAAGAAGAAGAAATTCAGAATTCAGTTTACTGAGAAAATCAGTTTTCATTTTCTCCTTTAAAAACCAAACGCCTAATGCTGACAATGCTTTAATATAACGGTGCTACAAATTGTGTTGTTGGTGGCTTTCATGGCAAGAATCACTGGGTTGCTGTGAGTTTTCTGGGTTGTATGGCCATGTTCCAGAAGCATTGTCTCCTGACGTTTTGCCCACATCAATGCCAGGCATTCTCAGAGGTTGTGACGTCTGTTGGAAACTAGGCAAGTGAGGTTTATACATCTGTGGAATGTTCTTTCTCCCACCCAGGACATTATGCAGTCCTATAGAGGTTGCTGAACTGTAAATTCAGGATGGTTATGTATAAGATTTAAATCATAGCACTGTACATCCCTTAGAAATGCACTGTCTTATGAAAATGTAAGATCTTTTTGTGCTTCTATTTTCAAACTTACCCTGCTACTATAAGACACTGAAGTTCAGCAGCAATTCGTACAGGATGACTAGTAGGAATCAAGTGTTTCAAAGCCACTTTTTCTTCTTGGTTTCCTCGCCGCTGAGCTACAGCTAAGTAAACAGAACTAAAGGTACCTGAAAACAAAAAAATATTTAGCATTTTATGATAACTAGCATAGGGCACTTTCATATTATCGTGATGCAGTGATTTCTACAGAGATACTACCTGAATTTCCATTAAGAAATCTTTTTCTTAGAAATTTGAAAGCAGGAATGGTCATACTTACCTTCACCAATTTTTCCTTTAATTTTGAACAGGTTTCCAAGCTGTGGTACTGCTTCATAAAGCTTTTCAATATCTGTACTTGCTCCTAGTGAGAAATTTAAAGTGAAAAAAGTCTTCCCCATATATTATTACAGTCATATATTATTACTGTAAACAATCAGTTTTAAAACATGATTTTAAATAGAGGTTTTGTACTCCTTATCCAAAATGCTTGGGATCAAAACTATTTGTGATTTTAGATTGTTTTGGATTTTGGAATATCTGTATCTGCAAGCACTTATATAATGAAACTTCTTGAAGTTGGGACTCAAAGCCTAAACACACAATTAATTTATGTTCCACGTACACCTTATACACATGGGCACAGTATTTTAAATAATTTTGTGCATTAATAAATGTTTGTGTACACAGAACCATTAAAAAGCAAAGATGTCACTACCTCAGATTCCCATGTGGAAAATCTTGGAATATTTTAGATTTTTGGGTAAGGAATGCTCAATCTGCCTTACTGCAATCTCTTTTAGTCCTAAATAATTAAAATCGATCAAACTTGCTAATTCTTCAAGCAGTATGATGATTTCACCTAAAATAAAGCTATTACAAGGTTGGGGGGGGGAAGGGTACACTTTGGCCACTGATGGAGGGAGGAAGATAATATCAACTTCATTGATAAAAAAAGGCATATGAGGACATATTGGATTTGTGCTCCATGTGTCATTAATAGAATATCAGCCCATATGTTGAATTTTTGAGGGGCTTGAAATTTTCCATTAGTGTCAAATGCAATAGCCTTGATGCTCAATTCAAGTCTGTACATTGGTCTTTAAAACCCAGTTTGGGTTGAGTTACTTGAAAAAAAACAACAACACTTGCAATCACATATCCTGTCCAAACTATATAAATCGGAGGAACTAGGAAGTGTAACTATGAAGGAAACAGACAAAATCCTGAAGCATAAAGATGTAACACTGAATTCTAATGTTAGGATGGTCCTTGCTATCATAGAAAGCTGATAGGAAGAAAATCAGTGCATTTGAAATATGGTGCTAGAGAAGTTCTGCAGGTACTGTGGACTGCTAAAAAGCCAAATAAATGAATCCTAGAGAAATTCAAGTCTAAATTCTCCCTAGAAGCCAAGATGACTACATTTAATATAATCTTATAATCTTATTGTTGATTTTGTTATTTGGTTATGATGTATTTTATGTGTTACATTGATTGCACATGTTCTTAATTATTTATTTTATTGCATGTATTTTACCATACTTCACTTAATTTATGTTGTAAGCCACCTAGAATCCCCTGGGGAGACGGGGCGGGATAGAAATAAATTTTATTATTATTGTTAAAATAAATTGTTAGTTTTGAGGCTGACGTACTTTGGCCGTATCATGAGAAGAGATTACTCATAAGGAAATGAGGTAATGCTTGGTAAAATGGAAGCAAGTAGAAAAAAGACTGTATTCCAGATAGAGAGAACAAATCAGAGAAGCCACAGTCCTGAATCCGTAGGGCTGTTGGTGAGAGGATGATTTAGAGGTCTCTTATTTATTTATTTATTTATTTGATGCACTTGTTAACCGCCATTCTCAGCCCTTACGGGCGACTCATGGCGGTGTACAATACACATAAAAAGACAGTTACAGAGGCCAATATCAACAACATATAACTATACAACAATACAAACTACATAAAAATCCGCTTCGTCTCTTAGTAGAATCATAGCCAGTCTCATCTTCCTTATACCGTTCCAGTTCTCATTGCCGTAATGTTATTACTTAGCACTTAATTAAATGCCCTCTCGAAAAGCCAGGTCTTAAGGCTTTTTCGAAAGGACATGAGGGAGGGCGCCTGTCTGATGTGTGCCGGGAGAGTGTTCCACAGCCACAGTGTTCCTCTTATTCACAGGATCCCCATAATTTGAAGTGGGCTTGACACCTAACAACAAATGCCATGAGGAATCAGACCTTCACAGTAAGGAACCTTGGTGGTGCAATGGGTTACTCTTCTGCTGGCAGAACCTGAAGAGCGACAGGTCGGAGGTTCACATCCGGGCAGAGCGCGGAGGTTCGAATCTGGGCAGATAAGCTCCGTCAGCTCAAGTCTTTACAGTATTGAGGTTCCTGTTCTTATTTACAACACATCACAGTACAATGTCAGTTCCTCCTTTCACAGCATATAAATGTACCGTTGACTCTCCACATTTGTGGGTTTCACCTTTGTGGATTTGATTAATATGTTTTATTTAGGAATCTCTAGGTCCTGGAGGGTTTTTAATTCAGTTTTTCCTCTTTTGCAGGGGTTCTGTCTCTAACCTCCATGAAAATGGGGGATTATTGTAATATATTAACTTCAATGGAGCAATGAAAATGTTCTGGCAGTGTGTTTTTTCTTGTTTAGCTGCTTTTAGCTTGGTGTGAATGTGTTTAATGAATTTAAAAAATAAGATAAAATAAGAAAAGGGGCAGAGAAAAAAGTAGGCTTACAAAGCAATTGCAGATGTTGAATTCAGAAACTACACATTTTTTTCAAGAATTTACTAGTTGCTGTTTTTCATAAACCTATCACTAGATGGCATAGGAAGGATGTTATATTGTATTTTCCTGTAAAAACTCAGACAACATAGGCAAGAGGCCTTACTTAGATTGAACAATATTCCCTACTACATTTCTCAAATAGTGTTTTGGCTAAAGAGGTATAGTAACTGTGGGCCTTTAAAGACATAGCCATGTTAATCTGGATCAGAACAGAAAGGGATCTTGTAACATTTTTCTTGAGACTTTTTTTTTTGTCGTGTCAGGAGCGACCTGAGAAACTGCAAGTCGCTTCCGGTGTGAGAGAATTGGCTGTCTGCAAGGATGTTGCCCAGGGGACACCCGGATGATTTGATGTTTTATCATCCTTGTGGGAAGCTTCTCTCATGTCCCCGCATGGGGAGCTGGAGCTGATAGAGGGAGCTCATCCGCCTCTCTCCGGATTTGAACCTGTGACCTGTCAGTCTTCAGGCCTGCCGGCACAGGGGTTTAACCCACTGCGCCACCGCAGTCTTGAGACTAAATGACAGGGAAAATATTGTCATGTAAGCTTTTGTAGACAGGGACTACTTACTCAGATGCACAGAATGAAGTGCTTGTTGACAAATATTTGTGCCCATGAAGGAGTAGTGTGTGTCTGTGTCATTACACTCTAACTATTCATAGATAGAAATGTCTATCCATAGACACTTCACTTAGGCCCCTTCCACACAGCTGAATAAAATCCCATATTATCTGCTTTGAACTGGGATACACGGCAGTGTGGACTCGGATATTCCAGTTCAAAGCAGATATTCTGGGGTTTTCTACCTTGATATTCTGGGTTATATGGCTGTGTGGAAGGGGTCTTAGAGCATCTGATGAAAAACAATCCTACAAGCTTCTTTCTCTGAATTAGTTTCTAAGATGTTACAACAGTCCTTGTGCTGTTCCGCTATCAAGCATGAAGTGTTTCAATGATATCAGGTCCATCCAAACCTGAAGGCAACTGGCCAAAGGAGCACACCAAAGTTTTGCTGGAAAACACTGTGATGACCAAAGCCTTATGTAGGGTAAGAGGCTTTCAAAAATGTGAGAGGTACACTCCAGAGGTACACTCTCACTCCAGAGAGTGGTCTCCATAATAAAAGATGTATTTCCTGTTACTCCTGAGCAAGCTGGACAGAAGTTGAAGTAATAATTAGAGTTGGGCAAGGAGGAGAAATGGTACACCAAAAAGAAAAGGAGAACATTAGGAGATAGCAGCGCATGAGCCAAAATTGTGGCACGTATGTACAAATGACTAGAGAGCACTTTATGCTCTCACAGTGTGAGACCAAGCAGGTGGGGCTAGACCTCTGCTTTGCTAACAGACCCAAATCGTATTTCATGGCAAACATTTTCAAAACTTTGAATAATTTCATTTTTATAATATGATGCCTGGGAATGGAGGACGCTTGGCTCAACAGCAGTATGTGTGAAAAAGATCTTGGAGTCCTCATGGACAACAAGTTAAACATTAGCTAACAATGTCACACGGCAGCTAAAAAAGTCAATGGGATTTTGGCCTGCATCAACAGGAGTCTAGTGTCTAGATCCAGGGAAGTCATTCTATCCCTCTTTTCTGCCTTGGTCAGACCACACCTGGAATCACACTGTGTACAATTCTGGGCACTGCAATTTAAGGGAGATGTTGACAAGCTGGAATGTGTCCAGAGGAGGGCGACTAAAATGATCAAGGGTCTGGAGAACAAGCCCTGTGAGAAGCGGCTTAAAGAGCTGGGCATATTTAGCCTACAAAAGAGAAGCCTGAGAGGAGACAATGATGGCCATGTACAAATATGTGAGAGGAAGTCATAGGTTGGAGGGAGCAGGCTGTTTTCTGCTGCCCTGGAGACTAGGGCGTGGAGCAATGACTTCAAATGACACGAAAGGAGATTCCACCTGAACATTAGGAAGAACTTCCTAACTGTTCACCAGTAGAACTCTCTGCCAAAGACGGTGGTGGAGGCTCCTTTTTGGAGGCTTTTAAACAGAGGCTGGATGGCCATCTGTCAGGGGTGTTTTGAATGTGACTTTCTTGGCAGGGGGTTGGACTGGATGGCCCACGAGGTCTCTTCCAATTCTATGTCAGCTGTCTGACATCATAGATCATACACTGTGGGCCTTCCATTGCTCTTCTCCTGCGATCCACTATCATCTGCCTTCCAGATCAGACATACAAGGTGTGCAGGGAGAGGAGAAAATTATCATTTCCAGTAGCAGACAACAAACATTTGTTGCAACTCATTATTTTTTTAAGCTCCAAGGCATTCCCATCAACCCAGAATACAATTAAGAATTTTTAAAAAGCAAATATTTTGATAAACCAAAGTAAGGATTAACTTGTAAATTTGAATCAACCAAGTATTCCAAATGTCCCGCTTTGCTAAAAGTTCTTCTATACTAGCGCATAAATAACATCATCAATAAAAAGTACAGTTTGTTTTTAAAGTATCTTATGCCAAAATATGAGTATGGAAGGGTCTCAAGAAAACAGGTGGAGGCCTTATAACAGGAAAGGAAGAATTTACAAGATTTTGGAGGGAGTGTTAAAGTGTGTACCTGATAGCTTCTTGTTCTGGCTGTATTTCTTACTTGGGTCTTCACTGTGAATGGGAGGATGTTCAATCTGATGAGCTGCCTCCATTGTAATGCTACGTGAAAGCAGCCACAGAAGTTCAGAAACAGGGTCAAATTCTCTTCCGGATTTACATGCAAGTTTTCAAGTCTAAACACACTGAAAGAAATTCGCTCCCTTCTCTCAGCACACTGTATAAAGGTTAGTTAGACAAGGCAGTAAAGTGGTCCATAGACGCGTGCTGATCCTCCAGCCCCTGGAGTTTCCAAGCAAGAAAAGACAAGAAAAGGAATCCCAGGTTGCAGGGGAGCATTTGCACAATTAAAACTTGTGCGCCAGCTGCGCCTGTACCTTGGGAAGTCAGACTTGGCCACGGTGGTCCACGCTCTTGTTACGTCTAGAATAGACTACTGCAACACACTCTACGTGGGGTTGCCTTTGAAGACAGCTCGGAAGCTTCAAATAGTCCAACAAGAGGCAGCCAGGTTAATAACTAGGGCGGCATACAGGGAGCATACAACTCCCATGTTACGCCAGCTTCACTGGCTGCCAGTTTGCTATCAGGCACAATTCAAAGTGCTGGCTTTGGCCTATAAAGCCCTAAACGGCCCTGGCCCAAATTACCTGTCCGAACGCATCTCCCCCTATGAACCATCACGGAGATTAAGATCCTCCGGGGAGGCCCTTCTTTTCGTCCCGCCATTGTCACAGGCGCGATTGGTGGGGGCGAGAGACAGGGCCTTCTTGGTGATTGCTCCCCGGCTATGGAACTCCCTTCCTGGTGAGATCAGGTCGGCTCCCTCCCTCCTGTCCTTTAGAAGGATGGTAAAAACTTGGCTGTGGGACCAAGCTTTCGGGACAAAATAGGAAAGATGACAGGGCCAATTGGATTTGATGCAGATGGCTAGGATGGTTTTAAATGGTGTTATTTTAAATAGTGTGTTTTAATATTTCGATAAATGTTTTTTAATGTTTATGTATTGTATCCAGGCCCTGAAAGTTTGCCATGTATATGCTGTGCTCCGCTCTGAGTCTCCTTCGGGGTGAGAAGGGCGGAATATAAATGTTTTAAATAAATAAATAAATAAATAACTGTGGTCAATAGACACACAAATATGGTGTGAGGCTCTGTTGCTCTTGGGAGGGAGGCTGGACTCCAATAGAATGCAAGGCACAACAGGTACTGGCCAACTCTGGCTCTCCAGATGTTTTGGACTCCAACTCCCACAATTCCTAACAGCCTCAGGCCCCTTCCTTTCCCCCCATAAGCGGCTGAGGGGGAAAAGGAAAGGGTCTGAAGCTGTTAGGAATTGTGGGAGGTGGAGTCCAAAATACCTGGAAGGCCGAAGTTTGCCCATGCCTGATCTATAATGTAGAATTAAATTGAACTCCCATGTCTCAATGTCACCCAGTTCTGTAGTTTGGTGATGAAGCACTAGAACTTTTCCAATTCAAAAATTGCAACAGCAAAAACAGCAGAGAGAAAAATAGGCAGGGACATCTAATCACCTTTCAAGAAGAGTTTGCTCCAGGCACAGTCAGCCCATTGTATGCTAATCAAAGTGGTCAGTTGAAAGATTCACACCTAGCCCAACTTACAAAGCCCTTTGTCTCACCCTGGTCATTCCACAGATATATAAACCCCTTTTTCCCCAGTTCCAGCAGACCTCACCTCTGAGGATGCTTGCCATAGATGCAGGCGAAACGTCAGGCAAAATGCCTCTACAACATGGCCATATAGCCCGGAAAAAACCCACAAGAACGAAGCACTAGAACTCTTTGGCAGAGAAGATGTAGGCCTTTGTAAACTACAACTCTCTGATTTATAATGTAGAATTAATAGTTTGACACCACTTGAACGCCCATATCTCAATGCTACCCAATTCTGGGATTTGTAGTTTGGTGATAAAGCACTAGCACTCTTTGGCAGAGAAGATTAGTCTTTGTAAACGACAACTCCCACAATTCCTTAGCACTGAGTCATAGTGGTGTCAGTAATGTCAAAATGGCTTAACTCTTCCTAAACGGGGCCTGGTGCCTTTAAGGCTTTGATTCCTAGAGCTATGAAGGACTGAGCCTTAAAACAAAGTGGGCCAAAAGTCACAAAGGCCTTCGATGTTGTAACAACTTTCTCAAAAGTTGCTATATATACTCTGTATCAGGCATGTGCAAACTTCAGCCCTCCAGGTGTTTTGGACTTCAACTCCCACAATTCCTAACAGCCTACCGGCTGTTAGGAATTGTGGGAGTTGAAGTCCAAAACACCTGGAGGGCTGAAGTTTGCCCATGCCTGCTCTATATGGTGCTAAATAGTATGGAACACTGAAAACAGAGGCCTCAGCTCAAGCGAGGAAGGGGAGGGGAGGCCCAGCAAAGTGCTCCTCGGGTTTCCACACCCCGCCACTCCGAGGGAGAGTTGTCCTGACTTCTTCCCCCATCGTTTCCCTTCTTTGCTCGGCTTTTTTACTCACTTGATCGCCCGCTTCCTCACTCGGTGGCTTCCCTTTCTTTTAAACAACGGCGCCTCTCCGATTGACTGCCCGCCTCCTTTGGCGCCAAAAAACCGCGCTGTCCGTCGCAACGGCGCCCCCTGTCGGCCGCGGAGGGAGGAGTCCGCCTTGTCAGCCGGCCAAAGACAAGCAAGGCCTCTCTCTCTCTCAGCGCCTCCTCCCTCCCACGCTCCAAATAAGGCCCTTCTACAAGGAAGTTTGTGAAGGAACTGCTTTCTGGGCTATAGAGACTTCACCCCAATGAGCATGTCAAGTCTTTGGAAGTGTAGATTACCATACAGCTCCGTTTTGAAACTAAAGGGATGATTTTTCCCATCTCCATCCCATTGCACAGTAGCAAATTATCTGTTTCTTTCAGGAGTTCTCAGTCTCTTTGCCGTTCAACCCACTGTCCCTCCCCTGTTTTCTTTGTGAAAAGAAATAACAACAAAACTTGCCATACATTAAGGGAACCACTGACCGCATAGGGAAACTGATGAGGAAACACAACATACACACTATCTACAGACCCACCAAGAAAATCCAACAAATGCTACGTTCAGCAAAGGACAAGAGGGATCCTCTCACCTCTGCAGGAGTCTACCGTATACCATGCAGCTGTGGACAAGTCTACATAGGGACCACCAAACACAGCATTGCCCAAACACGAATCAAGGAACATGAAAGACACTGCAGATTACTTCAACCAGAGAAGTCAGCCATAGCAGAGCACCTGATGAACCAACCTGGACACAGCATTTTATTTGAGAACACAGAAATGCTGGACCACTCTTAACAACCACCATGTCAGACTACACAGAGAAGCCATTGAAATCCACAAGCATGTGGACAATTTCAACAGAAAGGAGGAAACCATGAAATGAACAAAATCTGGCTACCAGTATTAAAAAAACTCAAAAATTACAACAGCAAAACAACAGAGGGGAAACAAACAGGCACATAAAATCACTCTCAACAAGAGATTCCCCCCAGGCGCTTCCAGGCCATTGAATGCAAATCAAGGTGATCAGCTGAAACATTCACAGCTAGCCCCAGCAGACAGGGGTCCTTTGTCTCACCCTGGTCATTCCACAGATATATAAACCCATTTTTCCTACTTCCAACAGACCTCACTACCTCTGAGGATGCTTGCCATAGATGCAGGCGAAACGTCAGGAGAAAAATTGCCTCCAGAACATGGCCATATAGCCCGAAAAAACCTACAACAACCCAGTGATTCCGGTCATCTCCCCAAGGGGACTCAGAGCTGTTTCCAAGTAACATAATCAATACATACAAAGAAAACAGTATAAACATAAAATTATGCCAAGACAATATAAGCCTTAAAAAACCACAATAGCACATATATTTAAAATAATTCTGCCTGTTCAAGGCAGTTTAAAAAGCCAGGCCAGGCTAGTGCGATTTTAGTGGGCCGAGGAAATTAGGTAGAGTCTATGGCTGTACATTTCCAGGGCCTAATAGAAGAAAGTGACCTGGGTAATTGGTAGAAAAAGATATGGCCAGTTTCAACAGTATCTGGGGCAGAGATAGAACTCAAAGGTTCTCAAAGGTTTGTTTAAATCACCAGGTCTTCAGGCTCTTACAAAAGGAGGGGGCAACGGGGCCTGTCTTATTTCTCCAGGAAGAGGGTTCCAGAGGCAGGGGGCCACCACTGAGAAGGCCCTCTCTCTCATCCCCACCAACCATGCTTGTGACGGTGGTAGGAGCGAATCGAAGGCCTCCCTGGAAGATCTTAAAGTTCGCGTTGGTTCATAGAGGGAGATGCGATCACGAAGATGGGCGGGGCCCGAATTGTTTAGGGCTTTATAGGTCATAACCTGCACCTTGAATTTGGCTCGGCAACTTATTGGCAGTCAGTGAAGCTGTTTTAAAAGGGGCGTAGTATGCTCCCTATAGTTTGCTCCAGTAAGGAGCCTGGCTGCCGCCCGTTGTACCAGTTAGAGCTTCCGGGCCATCTTCAAGGGCAGCCCCACATAGAGCGCATTGCAATAGTCCAATCTGAAACGCCTCTAGAACATGGCCACACACCCCAAAAAATCTACCACAACCCAAGAAACATCTTTCCTGGACTATTATTTTTGTTCCTGGGTTATCAATGTCATTTCCTAATTGGTTCTATCATAAACACATGGGAAAAGTTTGTTAAACTGCAAAAAAATTTGTTTTGCAGGAGGGACATCTTGCTAGAGCAGTGTTTCTCAACCTGGGGGTTGGGACCCCAGGGGTGGGGGTTGTGAGAGGGTGTCAAAGGGGTTGTCAAAGACCATCAGAAAATGCAGTATATTCTGTTGGTGATGGGTGTTCTGTGTTGGAAGTTTGGCCCAATTCTATCGTTGGTGGGATTTAGAATGCTCTTCGATTGTAGGCCTTGACATTTGGGAGTTGTAGTTGCTGGAATTTATAGTTCACCTACAATAAAAGAGCACTTTGAACCCAGTCCACAATGGATCTGCACCAAACTTGGCACACTACCTACATGGCCAACATTGAATACTGGTGGGGTTGGGGTTTGGGGGCTGTTTCTGAATTCTGGGAGTTGTCGGTCACCAATATCAAAAACGAATA